CCTAGTGTGCGGCAAACAGTTCATCGCAACCTTTCGCAGCAAAGAAATACGCATGCGTGATATTTCCCCAAACAACATGGTGGATAGTGAACAAGATGACTTGTCAGACGATGAAGATATTTTGCTGATACGGCGAAGTTAAAAACGTTCGAGGGGGGCAAATCGCCAGTTATGAACGAAACGATGGATATTGAGAAGAGTCTATAATAATCTCATGGACTAATTCGGCCAAATTTATCCTCCAAAATTGCTTCGTTGACCAGCTCACTAGTATGTTCACTATCGGCCATGTTGTTTTGGGGAATTTCACGCATGCGCACTTCTTTGCTGTGAAAAGTTGCGATGAGTTGTTTGCCGCACATTTTTGTCACAAATGACAAAAAATATCAAACATGTTTGATATTAGGTGTTGTTCACGACACGAGCCACGAATGAAAAGTGTGCGTTTAACTTGCATTAGTGTGCGCCGGGCTTACGCGACACAATGGTAACCGCTTCTATACTAATTTGCATATGATTCATATAAAGTGGCCTTCCATTTCTAACAGAGAAAATATAGAGTGAAAATATGTAATTTGGCAATCCGACAGTGTATACTATTATTTGCCGACATCGCGATCAATAAAACTATTACTTTGAAAACTTTTAGTTGCATGTTCAATACGATCGGGTATCTCCACGAGCGGCCAAATATAATAATAATTCGTTGCTCATACTCTAATCTATGCTTGCGCCTCTACTAACAACAAAGTATAAATACAACCATTTTCTTATACAAGTTTGGAGCCGGGTGGTCACTAAATCGGGGTGTAAAATATCATGCAATATTGCTCAAGATCTAGTCTAATAGATCAACTTCTTATTTGCCAAACTCTTCCGATCTGTACGGAGAAATATCGGACCGAGGTTTTTTTTTGTACAGACCGAGCCCCTAGGGGGACGTTTGTAGAACAAGACCGAGGTCCAATATTTTTCTGTACATCCTGAGCAACTGATGTTAATAAAAAGTTTATTATATGGCATTGATACTTGGAAAAATAAGAAATTAAACAAATTAAATTATAATTTCCAAATTTTCAATTAATCTTTGTGTTTTGTTTTAAAATGCTTACGTTTGATTTTACGGGAAAATAATGGTCCTATGATAGTGCTTCTCAGCCAATCACCGTCCGCCATTTAACCGGAAGTGATGGTTGCCGTATAATAATACACAATAAACTGTAGATTGTGTCATCAAACACCGCTAAAAATATCAAAATGAACATAATCCCTCAGCAGTATAACCAATCCGAGGAAGTTGAGATAAATGTTTTGATGTTTTCGAAAACAACTTAATATTTAGTAAAAGCACCAAAACGTTAGCAATTGACTGCTTTATTGATCACGAGGTCTGCATGTTGTAGCATTAATTTCAAAAGTAATGACAGCATTATGAAGGCATCTACGATAAACAATCTAACTTTCGGAAGTTTCATTTGGCGAACCACCGTCATCATGACCACGCCTTAATGTTCCCTGTACTACTTTATCCACCAGGTCACATAATCCTACTTCTTTTAAAATATCACCAAACCTTTTACGGCTGAAGTTGGTTTGGTCGCTGATCATAAATAAAATTTGATTGGCCTTATCCTTTGGCTCTGGGTAGTTAATGTGATCCCGATACACGTTTTCTACTTCACCTTTACCCAGGTCAGCCAATCCCGCAATTACTTTATAATTCTCGACAATCCTTAGAGACAATCGAGTCCGTTCCGGTTCAGAGAATTTCGTTGTGTCACAAACCGGTTCCTCATCTAAATTGCATAATAACAATGTATGATAACGTACTGACAAGGATATAACAAAGCTAACAACACTTAAACAATGTTCGACAGACCCATCATCCCTTACCTTTTGCCGTGTCAATCTAAAATAGAAACGCACATTAATTACTTATTTATATTTTATCGTTTACATATGCAGGGTGTGGTTTCCAAATTACCCAAATCAGAGACTCATAATACACGTGCTGAAAAACTAAGAATTGGTTAGGCAGGAAATCCACGGATACAGTAAACCCTAGAAGCACATGGCCGAAACTTTACTTTACTTTACACATTCTACCCACAACCTATTGTAACATTTAGGTCCAGCGCTTCCAAAAATATCTTCACGCAAAACAAAACGAATACTTTCCGAGTTTGCTTGAGTGCAGGAAACGGTAGGTTGAAAGTGAGCCAATGTAAGATGCTTTTTATTACGAGCCAGCCAATTCGTTACCTGCCTGTTGGCGTTTGTTTATTTTGTTTTATATTTTAGTGCGTGTTCACAGCTCACTAATTTCCAGATCTCTCTAAGAGTTATTTTTTGTAAGTTAAAATTGAAGAAACTGTTCTTGGAGTCTACCTGTAACTACAAGTGATAGTTTCGCTCAAACAATAAAGATTGCATGCAGAGAAAATTTTGCCAAAGCTAAGCGTTTATAAAAAGTTTAAAAGTGGCAAATTGTCTATTTGTTTGCTTGTTTGGTTTTTTGTTTGTTTGTAAGCTTTATCACCAAAATGGCTCCATCAATAGGAAGGTGCTCCCTTGAGCCCATATTAACAGACATGTGAACATAGAAATAATTTAAACAAACTAAAAGGTGCGTTTCAGAACAAAAAAATAAAAGTATAATTTTTCTTTCATTTACCCCATCAGACTCTTCTTTGAATGGAAACGTCCAGCCAACCAAGCGTTTGTCCTCCAATAAACTTATAATTTTCTACACATTGAAACAGGAAGAAGGAATTTCATTAGTTATTATTCAGTTTCTCAGGAGATTCAAAGTTCATGTATTGTTTCATCTCATCGGACAAAAGGTCTGATTGGTGGACGATATTGTCATTGATCAGTGAAAAATAAAATCGTACAGGTAATGAGAAAAATTATCAGGATTTTCGTTTTCCCTGGCACACCTATAGCTCGCTACAGTATATAATAAAATATTTATTGACTGCGATTTTGGGAAAATAATATATTTCTGTCGGATTCAGTCAATAAGTGCCAATCTTCAAACTCATGCAGTATATAATTACTATTTGATGAGGACTTCACGGTAAGAAACCGAACACTTGTTGTATTGATGTTTTAATGTAGAAAACGTTTCTTCGAGTTTGTCTATTACATAGCATCTTAGTCGGTAAACATTTATTCTAGAATGAAGTAAACCCGGTCAAACAAGGGCAGCAATTGTCGATAGATTGCTGGCTCCCAGTGACCGGATGCATTAGCTTAATTACTCCAGGCGAGGTGAAGTGGTGTTATATGGAGTAATAGAGGAATACCGAATGGTTTTCCGTGCATGATCGCGTGATCCATGCACGAGAGATGTCGCGAGATTTTCGGAAAGCGTAAAAATACTCCTCCTTAATTCCTCGTCCTGATCCTGCACGGCTAAGGATAGCCTGACCCTGCACGGCTATTTAATCAAATTGCGTGTTTCGCTGTAGTTGAGAAGGAGTTGAATATGGGAGAATGAAGTGTTGCAAGGTAGTGTGTGAAGATTGTGATAGAGTATAGTGAATTGACGTTAAATGAAGTTGCGTGAATGTTAGTTGAAGGAGAATGTTGTTAAACAACTGTTAGCGTACACACGTTAGCGTACACACGTATGAGCAACCCACTGCTTATGTATAATTTGCATGCATGTCTATTCTTTTCAGATTTCAATAACCAAAATTTCCATTCATCGAAAAAAATTTTCAAGTTAATAAACAATCTCGGGAAAGTTTGCTTTGAAGTTTAACGTCAACCCGGGATTAAGCTAACCGGGCTCTGACAACTGGGCTCTGTATCCTGTATGTTGCTTTACAAATTTGACTTTAAATGAGAGAGAAAATGATATAAACCTGACCTTCCAATTTTGTGAAGAAGAATAAACGCTGCCATTTCCAAATATATACAGCGCACATTGAGCCCTTGAAATTGCGACGCATATCCGGTCTTTCTTTGCAAAGAAACCGATCTTATCTTTGTTATTGCTTCGAACCAGTGACAGCAGAATCACTTTGTTTTCCTTTCCCTAAAATGCGTTCATATAAATGACATGAAATTTAAACTGAAACAACTTTGATCTTCTAGATTAACATTTCTTACCATATAGGCCTAGTGCACTGCACAAAACCCTAAGATGTTTACCTCAACAACAAGCAATTCGATTACCTCAAAAAATGTTAGATATATCAAAAGTTAATTTTCCAACCATGTTCTAACATATACAATTCTAAAGCTGTAAAAATTGAATGAGCCTATACGCTGGTAATTCCTGTGAGGGGTGCATGTATCATGCTGTGTAACTAATGTATTTCACTCTTAATTTCTGACGACTTCCGATGAAAAAGTTTACAAAATTTACGGTTACTGAACTTGAACGTGACGTTTTTTCTTCGTAAACTATTTTTCTGTAACGACAAAATTACGCACCTACAGTACGTTGTTTCGGAAAAATTGCCTTGGAAACAGAAAATTGTAATATAGAAAGATTTTTTTCTAAATTACCAAGTACTGCTATAAAGACGTTTTTTTACTCTGATGCTTGTGATGTTACTCTGAGTGTATATCCACACCGGGCAAGCTTGAAAATGTGCCTGACCTCGAACCGACCTGACGCGTAGCTAAGTTGGCAGAGCATTGGGATAGTATTCCAAAGGTCGTAGGTTCGATTCACACCGTGGTCGGGCATATTTTTCAAGCTTGTCCGGTGTGGATATACAATGAGAGTAACATCACAAACATCAGGTATAAACAATAATGTAATGTGTGCATGTTTCCATAAATTCAGTTCTTCGCTTGCCGGCTATATTTCTTCCGTGCGTCTAATTTTCCCGTACGATTTACAAAGAGTATTCTAACATTCTATATACTTGCCTGAAAACTGTCCACAGTCGTAATATTGATATCTTTCAATTTGGTAAAATACTCTTCACTCGGATCTGACGATTTCTTTTTAAACGCAGCGATCATTTTATCGACCTAGAAAGCGAAGCTTGATTGAAGTAAACCGAGGCTGTCGGAAGCGGGGGGGGGGACTTCCGACAGCCTTGTACGCCTTCCGAACAGTTGTCATTTGTAAACATAAGCAGGAAAATTTAAAACAATAAGCGAGTCAAGAGAGGAACGCTCAATTTTGACAAGGTGTAACAATACATACAACATTTTAAAAGGTTTTAATGAACGCAACAAACGACTTCAATTGCATACGTCAAGAAAATCTCCTCTTAACACTCTATGTCAATTAGTTACGTGACAGAATCTCAAAAGTGAATATAATATTTAAGAAATAGAAAACGAGTCGCGTGCGTTTATGGTGTGATAACGCACGCGGGGAATGTTGGGAGAATGCGAGAGAAGCGTGTAATACACGAGGCGTAGTCGAGTGTTTTACACGCTTCTCGAGAACAAAAAATAGAACTAAAATAAAGAAATTTTAAATGGTACGCCAATTAAAGAGCATAATGACATGATGTATATAATGTCCACTATATTTTTGCCTATATTGCTGTAAATAGCCTATGCATGGCGTCAATTTTAAGTTATAATTGTATTTTTATAATTCTCAAATTTTATCATTTTTATGCATGTTTCTCAACCGCTAGTGAATTTGAAAATGTGTCTGACTGAAAAACTGGATAATAAATATAAAATAAAGTAATTTAGATACATAAAAAAATTTTAAGTTTTCAACTTTTCATTGCAAATGGGCGAAAGAAAAAAGCCTCTTTAGCAAACAATTTTGAAATCATTTAACGCAAGAAACAATCGTTAATCGACTTTTTACACCACGAGCAGACTTGCTTTGAAAATATGCAGAGATTTAATAACTTGCGACATTGAAAAAGGTATTAAACAAAAAATAGATCGATAAAATTGTTTGTTTATAGTACTTTGAAAGAAATGCCTTAGTATATTTTGCTCATGAAACATATTGTTTCATGATCTCATGCCTGTTTTATACGTCGAATTTTGGTTGCGCCGAATGCAATTAAGACAATAGATAATAAGATTATAAACCTCATTTTAATTAGGTTGATCATTTCATTATCTATTGTCTTAATCCAACCTAGACCTAAGCCTTCTATTTTTACTTATATGTTTTTAATATTCAGCCCTTTTTCACATGAAAAAGACTGGGACTAGGTGATTTGGGGGCGGGGCAGAGGAAAGACGCAATAGAAGGCCTAG